CAGTAGTAATTCTGATTCAACAAACTAATAACAAAGCGACAATAACCAACCTTTTATTTGTTTAGCTCAACAAACATAGATATGCTAACTAGCTGATAACTAGCTAGGATAGTTTGTTAGCAGTATTAGCTTGTAGCTAAAGCGACCGCAGACTGTTTATGCTCAACTAGTTAGTAGTGTGCAGTCTACCAAATATATCTAAAAGGTTAGTTTCAGTGTCTGCTGTTTTTTTTACAGCTTGTTAATTGTTAGTTGAATCAGAATTACTTTGACATTGTTTTTGCACAAACAGAAGTAAACTGGCTAAATGTGATAGCTGGTTGAGCTAGTTTGCACAGAAGTTGCTAAATTGATAATTTGACATATTGTATCCATGTGACAATTCATGTTATAATTGGGGCTCCATACTGAACTTAAGTGACTGCTTATTTGTCAGATAAGGGTTGTCACTGTTTTTTTTTTGTATACTCACTGGGTAATTGTTGTGCGAGTACAATACTTTCAAGAAATCTGGTAATGACAACCGCACTCTAAGCAGTCAGCATTTCTTAAACTTTTCTATAACCACCTGGTCGACATTTAAAGACAGTAACCTACTTATATTTCCCGCTCTTGGTGCAATGTGCAAGTGACAACAGATCTTGTACGAACAAAATGGTCGATTATGACTTCGTGACTGCTTTTATCTTTTGTCATGATTTGGAAACTCTCTGAATAAAATCATTTTACAAGCAGTGACCACAACACATCTGATCAAATACAACACAGTAAAACATAATATGTTACATAGCAGTAAATACAATGAAATGAATGTCAATTTCTTTTTTTTCTTTTTTAAATCATCACCCAAAGCCGAAACAGCAAAACATGAATGAGCAGAATAACATGAATTATAAAAGTGTTGATGCATGGTCTGCTTAACGTTAGATAAGCAACATGTTTTTCTCCCCTTGATTTGTTTCCAGTTAGTTAAACTAAATCAGGATACCTAAAACAACAATATATAGGCATTAAATAAATTAATCAAATTCAAAACAAACACAGTGGTATATTCAAAATACATATTTACAACCTAATAAAATGAAAAAACTAAACCTCGGGGTAAATGATGTTGGAATTAATTGTAATTGACGGTTAGCTGAATACCTTCAAAGCAATATTTACCTCTTGATTTCCTTCATCTATGTATTGGCTATTATCAGGTATTCACCATTAATACATTTATTTGAGTATGTTTATACTTTTGCAGCATTTACTAAGTTGATATGTACTTGGTACTTGAAAATCCAAATTTGACATCTGACTGATATGTTTATATTGTATGTGCCGATTGGCTACCAAAGAAAATTGTGAGCATTGCCAAACATGTAATGAAATCAGAGGGGCTGTGCCATAGTGACATTAATACTGGTTGACTTTTGAGGAGTAGGAAACAGGAAGTGGATGATGAAAACATAAAAAAATGGGGGAGGGTGCGGCACAGCCACGTTTCTATGCTCATTACACTTCGGTTTTATTAATCCAGTGACTCTCACCAGAAGCCTCTAGAGAGCATTAAGCAGTTTTTTTTAAGTTTTTTTATGTGTACAGATATCGCATGGACACACTACTGACAAACTACCACAAAACTATTAACATGAATCCGTTGCTTACTGAAATTCTGAGAGAGAGAACAAAAAAAGTCAAAGTCACTTGGTCACATACATCGAAATTCACAAGTTGCTATTCAAAAAGCACTTCAAATAAAAAGAAGAAGAATAAAGTAAAAGAAAATCGCCCAAATCCAACCCTGCTAAGATTTTGTACACTACTGGAAACACGTGCTAAGATCTGGAAAGAAAAACCTGCCTTGTGGTTTGTAAAGTCACCAAAGCGGAGTGGCAATTTAACATTTGCTGCCAATAATCACATCCATTAAAGCTGGAAAAGACCATTACCCACAGGTCATAGCAGTAAGTACAACTGCCTCCCTTTGCCCGGAAAACTGTCTCCGTGAAATGCAGCGATCACACTTTGTGTTCACTGGGATCGAGCTAAAAGGGAAGGAGCTACCGCTTCACTTCGGGTCAGGTCGAGCGTGGGCTAGTCCAGACGCTGAAGGGAAAAATCCACCCAGAAATACTCAAAACACGGTCATAAATCTGTGTAAATCAGTGCATATACCGGGGTATAATTAAGTGTTGACTACAAGTTGTAGTTGGTTTCAAATAGTGACGCTTGGCCAATTAATTTCTCCCTCTCTGTGCAAAACTACAAAAACACAGTTTGAGAAGCTTGTTCTCTTTGATTCTTAAAGTAAAAGTAATAAAGAAAACTATACTTGAACTAAAACTAAAGTATTACTAAACTCAGATGTGGCTTTACCGATAATTAGGACTAAAAGTAAGCCAATGAAGCTAGCTTAATGCTAACGTTTTTACGCTAATTTGCGAAAAAACATAGGTACATTTTGGGTTAATAAACTCAAGTACTGGACAAAAAAACCCTCTGTTGGCTCTAGATGAAAAGTCAGAAGATCACCAAAGGCATCAGGATTTATCCTAAGGCGGCCATGAATGTTTGTACCAAATTTCATGGCAGTCCATCCAATATTTGTTTTACATCTTATCACTAAATTGGTGGACCAACACTGCATTATGGGCCTGGTTCAATTGAATGTACAGCATACAGTGTTTGAGTATTTCAGTGTGGACCGTCCCTTTAACAGTACAATAAAAGGCTTAATCTGGCCTAGATTAACTGTAAACTATTAACCCTGCAGCTGCAAGCATTAAAGGACTTTTGAATGTTACTGTATGACTTTGCTTGCAAAAGGGTCGAGTTGTACAGTATGGTTGGTCTAACAAGTGTTTCCCCCCAGTTGTTAACACTTTCCTGAACTGCACACTTTCCGTCATGCAGTTTCAACAACTTCTTATCTGGATTACGTGATTTGTTGAGAGGATAAATTACAGTGCAGATTTTTCCCTACAGACGAAAATGCATAGGATATAAATCAGTCCAACACTACAGTATACGGCGAGCAATACAAAAGAAGAAGAAAATAACGGATCACGTGAACTGTGATCGAAATAAAAGTCGTGGTCATTGGCACTGGGGTTGGAGTGGAGCGGTGAGGAGAAGGAAGGAGGGCCGGGAGAAATTACTAGTCAAACAGATAGATTTAACGTTATCTGGTCCTTTTTTGTAATCCTACAGCTTTGATAGCAATAAAAACGGGGGCAGGAATAGACCCAAAGACATTCTGTACACACTGAAGCTCATTTCAGAATAAAAGTGCTCTCTTTAAAAGTCAGAGCTGTTTTTTGAATAACTTGACGTGTGTGCCCGCCATCCTTACACACACACACACACAATTTCTCACACACACACAATCTCTCACAGTTGTGAAACATTTCGGGGTGAACACAAAGTCCGCTAAGGCTTCAACGCGGGGAGAAAAAGAGACACAGTGTTCGAGAGAGCAGTTGCTATAGTGACGTTTCAACAGTCTTGCTAGCTATTGTGTTGGTGCGTGGCGGGTTATGAGTCGTCACAATCTGCTTTATGTAAAGTTTATCACATGCCATGTTTGCTTTCTGTCATTTCCTCCCTTCGTTCACCTTGATCCGCCCTTGTTTGTTTTTTTTACTTCTAAAGACCTTACTTCTCCTACAGTGAAATCTGTGCAACGAATAACATGGCAACAAAGGGGGGAAATAAAATGTGCCACGCAACACAACGTTTACACACAGCAAATATAATATGATCTCTCAAAATATACTTTTGTATTCTCTAAAGTAGAAGTGCTTGCTAAGTGTTTTTCATCTCAATAAGTAGTTTCAGATTAGACAAAATGAAGGTGAGTGAAACTGACAGTGGAAATTTGAGTGTCTTCTATGAAACACACACTGCAGGGTCAATATATTATTTCTGCTATATTTCCTCTGATATATTATTTGTATATATACAGCTCATACAACAGACCTTCATGCTAACTGTTTCCCCTTTGATGAAAAGAGACTTTATGTGTTGAAATAATTGCTATAACTTTTTCTATATTTTTCTAAATAACTCTTGCTCTGATTATAAGCTAAAGGCAAATATTGGCTTTTCTATGCAAATCAACTTTAAATATCTTCTAAAATATAAGAATTGTTTCTGCTTTTGAAACACGATATAATAATCTATGTAAGAGTAAAGGGAGTGCATAAAGAACTGTCATTTAAGTTTTATATTATGAACACAGTGAACGCATGTCAATGTGGCCAAAGGAGGTCAACATATGTAATTTTTTTAACTATATGGGCTTTAAAGGAATAGTTCCACATTTGGGAACCCTTTGATTTGCCCTTATGGTAAGTTAGATGAAAGCTCCATACCAATCATGTGTGAATGTGGAATTTACATTATTACTCAAGTCTCAAAAAAAGAGAATAATAGTATTTTCGAAAATATTGAATTAACGCAGCGAAACACAAAAAACCCTTTTAGATGAAGCAGTTATAGATGTGAGATTTTGTACATTTACGTGTTTTTGTTTCTCCAGAAAGTAGTTTTATATCCGTCATTTGTACCATTTTCCATTCTGCATATTTAAAATTGAGTTAAAAGAGCACTGCTGGATTATGTTAGACGTAGTTATGTATCGCTGTATATAAAATAAGAACAAAGCTTATGTTTTTATGGTTAGCCTCTTTGAAGGCAGGGTTTGTAGTTTTTGGGTGGATGTCTAAACTATAACACACACACACACACACACACACACACACACACACACACACACACACACACACACAACACACACACACACACACAACACACACACACACACACACACACACACACACACACAACACACCCACACACACACACACACACACACACACACACACACACACACACACACACACACACACACACACACACACACCAACACACACACCACACACACACACACACACACACACACACACACACACACACACACACACACACACACACACACACACACACACACACACACACACACACACACACACACACACACACACACACACGGCCCTGTCTCCAGATTTTTTCTTCTTCTAATGTCTCTTTTTCCGCAGCTTCCCGTCAGCTCGGGAGGAGGCGGCCTCGCTACGATCTGATTGGTTGCGTGGTCGGTGGTGGTTGTGTGTCATGTGTTAGTACAAGGAGGGGGCGTGGCTGGATGTGTGTGTGTGAGGGGGGGGGGCGATGTGGGGCGAGCAATGTGGGGTTTGGTCAGATTCGGTTGGTCGGTTGATTGGAGTGCCAGAAGTGAAGAAATCATGGTGCAAATATCAGGGCTGAGGGGCGGGGCCTCACACTTTTTTAGGGGGAGGGGCCAACTTGATGATCTCATCTTCAGAGGGCTGGCGGATGATGTCTTTTTGGGGAGGGGGTTGGAAAAAGAGGGTAGAGAAAGAGAAAGAGAAATCATAAGAAACATTTTCTCCAAACACAGAAATGTATAGAAAAAAACAAGTAGGAAGAGTCATTACATCATATTCAGTAAACCCAAATAATACAAATAATAAAACAAAGAAAGTAGTGTAAATGTTAACTTTTGTAATACTTGGATATTATGAGATCCTTTGACATGTGTTTAGTGTTTGAGTTCATTTCACTCATTTATATAGCACTTTTCTAGTCGCTTTACAAAACAATTCACAAAACAAGTTGAAATTAAGTAAAATAAAAACATGACAAAGAAAAATACTGAACATTAAGTGAGCATTACTTAGAAGTATTCATTTAATTACACTTATTTATATTGTTTATAAGTGTAAGTGTGTGTCATTTCATACAGTAATAAGATGCACTTTTCTTATCAGACTTTTTGTACTTAATATATAATATAATATTTCAATATGCTCTCTAGAGATAGAAAGGTAAAAGACAATGACAGGACAAAGCAGCCAAAGGAGATGAATAAATACGTATATGACATAATAACAAAAATATAACATTTTTGTTGTAGAAATAACCAAATCACAGAGAGTATTTTTTTTAAAGAGGAACTCAAGTTATTTCAGTGCATGTGTCATAAAAGTGACGTTTTGAGAGAAGAACTGATAAACAGACATTTCATCTATTTTTATAGCAGAGGGATTGATGTTTTTAATTTAGCCATTGCACCTGTGTTTTATGTCGTTTTAACTCAAACAGGCGTAAAGCTTAATTTCCCCAGTGAGCTGAACTGAGCTACAAAGAGGTGTTGAAAATACACCTAATAATGGCAGCAGAAAGCCGGTTTATTGAAGCAAAACATAACATTTTAGAGCAACCTGACCCTCTTCTTGAAGCTTTCTTAGTTTATTTTACACACAGAAGAACATACATAAATTTACAGTTAAATCAAGATGAATGCTTTAAAACCACAGTTCATCCAAATGGAAAACGGTGAAACAAAAGCAGGGGAAAATTAGTTGTAATGAACCACGGCCAGAAATGTAATTAAAAAAACTAAGAGTCAATTCTTCAACAGTAAGTGTGTAAGTCTCAAAAACAGAGACATAAGTCTACAGCTATGTTTTGTTCGAGATTACGCTTGTGTGTGTGTGTGTGTGTGTGTGTGTGTGTGTGTGTGTGTGTGTGTGTGTGGCCTAGCATTACTATACTTGTGGGGACCTAAATCTGTTTACACAGTCACGTGTGGGGACTCGCCTCCCTTATGGGGACATAATGGAGGTCAGGTTAGGATAAGTCTCCAGGAAATGCATGTAAGTCAATGTAATGTCCCCTGAAGTGATGTATACATGGTGTGTGTGTGTGTGTGTGTGTGTGTGTGTGTGTGTGTGTGTGTGTGTGTGTGTGTGTGTGTGTGTGTGTGTGTGTGTGTGTGTGTGTGTGTGTGTGTGTGTTACCTTTGTATTTCTTGGCTGAGGGGATGCGTGTGAGCTTGGTGTCGATCTCGTCGTCCTCGGAGATCTTCAGCACGGTGGTGCGGTACTCGATCACCCGCGTCAGCAGGTCCGGTCGCCGCGAGATCTCGAAGATGTGCTCGAGGTAAGACAGGTTATCTGCACGGGAAAACATTTGTTACTTGTTTAAATCAAAAATGTTATAGAAAGACAACAACTGTTTGTAGTTAAAGGTCCCCTATTGTGCAAAATCCACTTGTTCATGTCTCTTCTACATCAACATGTGTCCCCTCTTCTTCATGTCTCTTCTACATCAACATGTGTCCCCTCTGTGTAAAGAGACTCTGGAAGTTTCAGGAACAAAGATTCTCTCTCTTTTTGTCCTGATCCATTTATATAAAAACCGGTCTGAAAATGAGCTGATCAGATTTTGTCCACTTTATGATGTCATAACGAGGGGCGTGGGGAGTGGAAAATAAGAGGAGGTTTATCATCTGATTGATGATTCGATACGCAGGATCAGGTCTCTGAGTGTCTCACCTTGGGCCAGCTTGTCGTTTTTCTCCAGGTAGCTGAACCACTCCTTGGAGGAGGTGATGTTGTTGCTCTGGTCCTCTGGGATGTCCTCCTTGCAGGCGGACTTGAGCTGCTCCAAGTCCTCGTTGGTGATGTTTTCAGACAGGTCGCTGAGGAGAGAGCTGTACTCCGCCATGGTCTGCTCCACACAAAAGAGAGGGGAAACGTTAAAGCTTAAATAATGAAAAGTAAACACAACAACAGAAAAAAACAGTGATTGAAAATATCCCTGTGTGGAAACAGCCCACCTACTTCTGTTAGCTAATGATAAAAACATACTGTAGGGGACGGATGGAAAGCACAGAGACCGAGAACATTGGATTGTCTGTAGAAACAGAACAAAAAAGGTCCTAGAGAGGACGTCCAAAAGGGGGACATTTGCACAGTGACATGTCTCTTCACTACCAAGAACACACACAGTTATTCTGACTCAATCACACACACATCGTCCCGCTACTTGAAATATTCACGATAGCACCAAATGTGGATTAATCACAGCTAAATAAAATAAACCTCTTTGAGTAAAGTAGGGTTTAAATAAGAGGCTACAAAATGTAAGGAGATTCCTGAACCTTTAGAAGTAACCAAACTATATAAATGTGAGCTGTTTTTTTTACATATTTAGTGGCAGATGAAGGCCTTTTCATGGGATATGTTGAAAATATGAAAGATATAGAATACCAACAGCCTCATCTATTCAAACTCTGCTTAAACTACATTTTTAAAGCTAGTAAAGTATGCATTTATCAAAAATATCATGAGTGGAGAGGATGTAAAGCATTAGCTGTAAGTAGATTTTCTTCAAACTCTAATGCACATTGCAGTGGCTCTCTATCTCCCTCTAGTGGACACATGGAAGAACTACATGCCTGTGCTACTGTATATTAAACAGGTGTCTGTCTGATTCTTTGTGTGTTGGATAATAAGCAAGTCCTCCTGCAAGAGTTTCTGCTTCATTAATGTTCATGCTAATAGTTTACAGAACAATAGGTTCAGACAGGTGGTTCCTTATTTATAGCCATCCTACTCGGACAGAAATAGATCACAGACTGCTCAGCATGCAGCGAAGATACTTGAGTACGTGGCTTGATTTCAGATGTAGACCTAACAGAGGAACAGTGGTTAAAGGATTCAGAACATAAGCATGCAGTGGGTACAAATCAGGCGAGTGTAAAGCAATGGGTGTTCTTGCTCCGTGTGTGTTTGGATGTGTGGGAGTGCGTTTGTTGGCATGTGAGGAGTTTAAAAACAGGCAGAAACCGGTTAGAAAACGATAAAACAGACGTGAGTCGGGCGTGTTGTGAGGCTCCTTTCAGCCGTTTAGACGAAGCAAAGAAAACAGATCCAGACGCCATCTCAGGATTGCATCTCATATCTCGGGTATTAACAGATTTGGGTCAAGCTACTCATATGCATATTCATATACAGATACTGTACAGCAAGTACCTTTATATTCCTGTAGAATATCACAGAGTACATAATAATCTATTAAGGGTGCATGAGGTAAACCTTACTAATCAGTCAGTTTGGGCTCTGGGAACTTGTTATGAAGAATATTTCCCCTGACATTTGATAGAACAAGCGATTTAGCACTGCCATTAATCATTATTTTTGAATATCAAATCATTTGCTGATTATGTAACTTTAAAATGTAGTGTCAACCGTCAAGAATTGTGTGCAAAATGTCTCCACACATGGTTTTGAAATGACTTATTTGGGTAGTCCTACATGATTGTACATGATAGGCTAAGGGGCTCTAAGCAGTCGAACAATCACAACAGAGCTGGCCAGCTAACCAATCAGAGCAGCCTGGGCTCTGGTTTCAGACAGAGGGTGAAAAGAGGTGCTGCAGCACAGGCAGTATGAGAAAAATAAAGACTTTTTGAACATTAAAGCATGGAGACATGTCCCAGTAGAGACACTACACACTGATATGAACCTGAAACTGAGCATAATAGGGCCCCTTTAAGGATAAACGTTCTCTAGAAAAAGGCGGAGGCATAGTGGGATGACATTATGCTACAATGGGAAAAAAACTAAAATACTTCCAACTGTTTCAGCCTCACAGCCAATCGAATGACTGCCTCAGGATTTCCAAAAGCTCTCCCAACATCCTGCTGAGATTGTTCCCCAGGCAGCGGTTTAGCTATAGTGACTTAAAAGCAGCTGCATTTAAGGATCCATTCCTTTGCTCAGGGGCACTTTGGCAACTTTGTGTAGCATTACAAGTTGCATCCTCCCCTTCCTCAACATAAGCTTCCCACAAACATTATGCATCTCTTTCTGTGTCACACACCAACCCCCCCCCCCCCCCCCCCCCCCCCCCCCCCCGCCCGTTCCTGGCATCTTCGCAGCTGGCGGGAAGGCTGCCGCTCAATGCAATGCATTATGGGCAATGGCACGAAGCTCTGATCCCCTCGCTCTCCTCGCAGATAAACACGGCGTGCAGAAAGCCCAGAAGAGGCTCTGCGATGAGAGCTGTGACCTATATAACACGGGCTGCTGTTACATGTAGCCGCCACCAGAGAGCGCCCCCTAACTGTGCACCAGATACTACAGATTAAGCATGTTATGGTGCAACAATGCTATCAACGTTAGCATGCTCACAGAGACAAATAGATAGGAATTGATGGGGGAAAAAAGGCAAATTCAATAAAAAAAAAACCTGACAAGAAATCAACAATTCCAGCTTACTGACTGAAAGAGAAGTTTTACATGTACTGACAAATGGTGAAGGAGTCTTCAAGACAGCATGCATATTATGGGATGCTGCAGTCCCAAAGCGTCCTTGGGTCTCTTGAAAGGCGCTATAAAAATTGAAATTATTATTATTATTATTATTATAATTAATAATTATAACATATAATTATGATTTGTTTGTCTATTCTCTAATGGCTAATTGGTGGCATTTTGTTTGGTCTGTCTGAGGCACAATCTCAGCCTCAGGGAGAAGGCACGAAGATGACAGAGCCCTTTTACAGAGCATGAGGCGAATGAGTGTGTGTGTGGTGTGTGTGTGTGTGTGTGTGTGTGTGTGTGTGTGTGTGTGTGTGTGTGTGTGTGTGTGTGTGTGTGTGTGTGTGTGTGTGTGTGTGTGTGTGTGTGTGTGTGTGTGTGTGTCAGTGTGTGTCAGTGTGTGTGTGTGACTGATGTGTCTCATTTCAGTCTTACATTTCACATTCATCTCCTCCATCAACACAAAGCGTTGCGTGGGAGCGAGCAGGGATATGCACCTTAAGTCCAATGAATACAACTGTGTGTGTGTGTGTGTATGTGTGTGTGTGTGTGTGTGTGTGTGTGTGTGTGTGTGTGTGTGTGTGTGGCTCCTGGCTTGAAATGCAAGTATGTGTGTGTGCGCATGTTTGCATGAATGTGCGTGCACTCAAATGAATGTGTGTTTGAACGCTTCCACTCACAGCTAGTGAATTGTGTGTGTGTACGGAGAGAATACGTGTGTGTGTGTGTGTGTGTGTGTGTGTGTGTGTGTGTGTGTGTGTGTGTGTCGCCCCTCTCGACCCAGGTCGCCCTGCCTGCTCTCTGTTTTGCACCACAATGGACTGGCGCTGCTTTTGTGTACTTTTAGAGGAGAAGAGTGAACAAAAAACAACAATGGATAGAGTGGCTACATTTAGTGTTCCTCTCTCTTTCCCAGCACCTCGCTCACATCCCTCCCCCCTGCCTCCCACCTTTAACTCTTACCCAACCAACAAATAAAGATGTTTCTATCAAAAACTGTCAGTAATGGCCATGCTTCAAATAAAAAAATGTTACTACAGCTTTGAAAGCCCACAAAGTAAATTTTTAAAAGAAAAATGTGACAAAACTTGCCAAAGATAATTAGTTTTTCCCTATTTTCTGATAGCCAAAGGATGAATACATTTTACATAATAATGTCATAATTCTGTTTAAAGGGGACCTATCATGCAAAATGCACTTTTGTACGTCTTTTATACATGAATATGTGTCCCCGGTGTTCCAGGGAACTCACCAAGTGTCAGAAAACACAACCCTCTCTATTTTCCTCCATACCCAAATCTCTAAAAAAGGGGCTGCAACGGATCTGATAAAAACTGATCCAGATTTGAACACTGTCCTGACGTCAGGACGGTGGCGCTACGGCTATTGGGCCAACTCCACCAATCAGGAGGAGACAGCCACGGCCATTGCCGTTCGAAAGCGCTGGAGACGCTGTAGTACATATGCCAGGCCTGTAGGTGGCGCTGTTCTCACTGAATCTGCCCTTGCTAAAACAGAGCTAGAAATTGTCAAATTGAGCGAAATGAGGCATGGCTAAAATGCATGATCTGTTTGGTATTTTGAAAAAAAAAAAGTATAAATATGCCTTATATAGGTATGGTCCTACACTATATTATTCAAATATAGCATGATAGGTCCACTTTAAATGTTTTCTTATGAATAAAGATCCTATCGTTTTGGCCTAAATGGGCTTCTGTACAGATGATCTCACTCATGGGTTTCTTCTCCTGTTATAAGGTGTAAGTAAAAGGGTGATACGTCATTATTTAATATTGCTTTGTCGCTAATATTCTGCAAACAAAGCAATATTTAGTTACAAGAAACATTGTCATTATTATAACTTTATACATTTTGTTGTCATAAATCGGATTCATATGCAATACAGGTGTCCTGGATGACATGTTGCTTTGTTCTGCTGTTATTTTAAAGGAGAAAAGAGTATAACATGTTAATGGGAGGGGAATGATTCCTCTTACAAAGACAACAACTATATATACAAATAAATGAAAGCACCGTTATTATGTGATTATCTATCATAGTGGTCATAGAGACATTTTACTTCCCTTTTTCTGCAACCATGAATCAACATTTATGTAAAAAAAGTGGACAAAAAAAAATGCGAAACTGAAAGAAATATTTGCTTCTTTCAGTTCCTGTGCAACATTGCAGTCATCATGCACACCAAGTAAAAAGAGTTTGTGAAATCCCCTCAAACTAACACCACCCCCACGCTTCGGACGAGCCTGACACTGCGTCCATACATAGAGACCCACTGTGCTTCACATTCTTATGAACACAGACGTGCTTTTGTCTGCTCGTTCCTCTGTGTGTGTGTGTGTGTGTGTGTGTGTGTGTGTGTGTGTGTGTGTGTGTGTGTGTGTG